TTATTAATATACCATCCATGGCAGGAAATGATGGGTGGAATATTATTAACAGTCACAATTAACAATTTAAACGAAATGCTTTGTAAATAAATCCCTGTTTCCTCAATAATACCGATCTGTGTGTAAGCGCAGATGCTGAGGTTGGCAAATTCGACTACATCGGCGTTCTCGACAGAACACTGGTATCTGCATTTAGTATTTTCACGAGTATGAGTACTCGTGAGAATACCCAGTATTGGCAGTGGTGTATCCCTACTTAAAAAATACAATGCATTGCTGGGACTTGTAGTCCTACATAGTTGGAGCTATTCTGCATTACTGTATAATCATCATACAGCAATGCAGAATACCACCAGCTATGCAGGACTACAAGTCCCAACCGCTGCAACCCTGTTAGTTCCGCCAGTGCCAGGAACTTGCACAATAAACTCTAGTGCACTATTTGGATATTGTCTGTATCAGTAGACAGGTATAACGGCTGCTGGTTTCATAAGTACAACTGAGGAACGTATCTTCATTTTTTGTTGTCCTGCCTGTGTAGAGGGCTGATCTACTGAACCTCCATTTACTGATCCTAAAACAATTATATACAGTGATATAAGTAATTTTCCTGACCATGTTATCATATTATGATTGACAAAACATAAGCTACCTACCAGAATTTGTGCATATTAATAAGACTAGCATCAGATTATAAAAACACATTCGGGTCTATTCACTAAGCTGCCGAGGGCAGCCGAGTGAACAACCGACCCCAAGTGAAGTGAGCCGAACACTGTTCGGCTATTCACTTCAGGCTTGTACGGCTGATTTCAGCCGTATATCGGCTGAAATCAACCATACATCGGCTTGCTTTGCATGGCTTCGGGTCAGCCAAACATGCTCAGCATGTTCGGCCGACCCGAAGTGCAGAAGGAGTTCGACTAGCATTGTACCCGCCCTCTGCTGATGAACCTGATGGAGAACTGCAGCAGAGGGCGGGTACAATGCTAGTTTACTATTGGCTATTGCAAATTGAAATAGCCAATAGGAATCTAGCAATGCATTCCAATGGGCAAAAACGTTTTTGTTTTTTTTTCTAATCTGACACGTCTCTGTGTCAGAATAAAGAAAAAAAAGAAACAGCAGTGTTTCTCTCCTTGGCAGCCGGGAGCAGGAGACTCCCGGGCCACCCCTTGGCAGCCGGGAGCAAGAGACTCCCGGGCCACCAGGGAGAGTTAGCTGTTTGGAGATCAGTGTCCCTGGTTAGCTGGTAACCAGGGACGCTGATCTCTCTGCAAGTGGCCGGAGCCAGCCGTAACATCACGGCTGGCTCCGCCCAGCTGTCAGAAGCAGGCTGTGGGCCGGCCAATGGCTTTCAGCGCGGCTCAGCCGAGCCGATGCATATGCGTTCGGCTCGACTGAGCCGCTCGGCCACGTTCGGGAGCTGTATGGGCTATAGTGAATAGCCCGTACAGCACCCCTTCGGTTCTACTGAACTGAAGGGGTCCTGGGGCCGAAGCTAGCCGAAGGATCGGCCGAAGCTACGGCTAGATCCTTCGGCAGCTTAGTGAATATACCCCATTGTGACAATGAATAAATATGGACAGGACAGTGATGGTAGTGCTGGTATGTTTTTGTATGGCAGGAGCCATCCTTGGATCACTGTGTGTCTAGCACAGTAATATGTGGCCGTGTCTTCCACTTTCAGATTTTCTATTTGTAGATATGCTGTGTTTATGGATTTATCAGATGTCATTGTGAATCTTTCCTGGTATGAAGAGGAATAATCTGTATTTCCATTATAAGGATCAATCCTTCCAATCCATGTCATTCCACCTCCTGTAACCTGTTGATACCAGTATATATAGTAGTCAGAGATTTGATATCCAATTCCTTTACAGAACATCTTTACACTCTGTCCAATGTGTTTTACTTCTGAGGACGACTGAAAGAGCTCATCATCTGACATGACTCCTGTAAGGAAAGAATGAAAATGATAAAAAAAATAATTATAGCAGAAATATTTTAAGCAATTGTTTACATTATTTTTGTATCCTAACTTACCAAGAAATGAAAACAGACACAAAAGACAAGAGAATAGAAACATGATGTCTTATTAGCTGTGTGTTCCGAGAGGACACCAAGAGCTCACTAGAACATCACGACCCGTCACTTCATCTTTTCTACCTGACAGGATGAGACCGGAAGCAGAGAGGAAATTTACATGACGGGGTGATGAGGGCTATAAAAGGATGAACATCCTATTGTACCTAGAATGAGGTTCAGGTTGTTGTAGTAATACTTGTTATAGTGTTTCTTTCATGCTAAATTCTCTAATATTATTTATTCTATAATTTTTGTTGTTTGTTTAAATGTTTACTAGCTGTAGCATAACTGCATCCTCTGCTCTTTATGTGCATCCTGTAGTGATCTTTAGTGCTCCAACCACACTTGCACAGTAGATTCCCACACGGTTCTATTGTACTACCAAGAGTCTCCTGCCTTTGGAGATGGCTCTATAAAACCTCTATGGAATCTATTGTGTAGGCACGGGTCTTGGAAAGTATACACCTGGGGAGAGGGAGGAGGCGTTAGGATAGGGTAGTGGATGTCTGCCTATTTCTGCTCTTTGTATACATTATCCTGCTAATCCTCAGGGCTCCGGCCTAGCTTGCACAGTAGATTCCTTTTGGGTTCTACTGGGCTGTCTACTGAGTGTCTCCTGCCTTTGGAGATGGCCCTATTTAATACCAGTAGAATCTACTGTGCAGGCATGGGTCTTGTAAAGTATACATCAAGGGAGAGGGAGGGGGAGTGAGAATAGGATAGTGGATTGGGGCAAAAAGTGCCCTGTGGTTGCTCTTGTCCAATAATATCTTATAGGAGTTCATAAAACAGAGTGCAGTTTATCAAATTAATTTTGTTTTTCATGCACAGAATAATGACATTTAGGGGGTTATTCACAATGGAGCCGAAGGATTAAGCCAAAGCATCGGCTAATCCTTCGGGTCACTTTGGACCTCAGGAGACCCATATGACAGATGTCGGCCAAAAAAAACACAAATAGGCAGAGCCAGCGGTAATGTCACAGCTAACTCCGCCCATTTGTTTACTTTTTTCAGATTTCTGTCAAACAGGTAATTCTGCGGCGGAAGTTTGCCGGGTGCGGACTAGTCGGCGGGTGTCTGTTTTTCTTTTATTTCGACAAGTCGCCGTGGACAACGCTGGATGTCGTGATTGACTGTTGGATTACGTCGCTGGAACAATTTGTGGGATTTTTTTTTTTTAATTAAAGGAATTGTCAAATATTTTTGTTTTTCTTCTATTAAAGGATTTTTTACAAAAGTGTGGTCTATTTATTAACAATTTACTTTAACCCTTTAGTGAATGAGTATGGGTACAAGTACCCCTTACTCGTTCACAAGGAGAAGCAGCATCTGGGTGCCACTTAAATAAAAGGGTACCCTGATGCAAATAGGCCCCCCTGCCCGCAGACCCCCACAACCAACGGGTCAGGATTCATGGGGAAGTGGCCCTTGTCCCTATTGACACGGGGACAAGGTGCTTTTCCAGCGGGGACCCTGGAAAAGCACCCTCCCAGTGCTGAGGGCATGCGGCCTGGTATGGCAGGGAGGGGGGGAACTTGCTCATCCACCCCTTCCCTGCCCTGCCCTGCCATGCTGCTGCCCGGATTAATCATAAGGGTCACGGGAGGACATAAACTAGCATCCTCCCATGACCCAAAGCTCAGTATATCGCGAGCTACAGCTCGCGGTATACTGAGACCGCCGCACCCGGGATGGATCCCGACATTAGTCTCGAGATCCACCTTGCTGCGTGATTGACAGCTGGCTCTGCCTATCTAGAGGCAGAGCCAGCTGTACCCGCCCCCTCCTCCGTCCGTTCCGCCAGTCAGTGCTGGAGGATCGGAGAGGGGAGGGGAGTAATCCCTGCAGGGAGGCGTGTGTGACAGTCACCGCTCTCTGCAGGGACATGATCGAGAAGTGAGCGAGTGACGGTATGTGTTTTGCTCACTTCCCGATCTATTGAGCCGATGTGTGACAGTTTCATTGTCACACGTCGGCTCGAACTATGAGGATGAGTGATTTTCACTCACCTCATAGTTCTCATTTAAAGGTGTGGTTGGGAATTTTAGGGGGACTCCACTTTTTTGGGGGGTCGGAGTACCCCCTTAAAATTCCTACCAGATCTAAAGGGCCTGGTATGGCTATGGGGGGGGGAAGGAGGGAGGGACCTACACATTTTTTTTAAATTCTGTTTACTACCTTGGAGGTAGTGAGTAGAAAAACCGAGCCGAATGCTATTCAGGGCATTCAGCTAATTAGTCACTGCCGTTCGGGGTAAATGGCAGTGAGTGAACTGCCCATCTAGCTCCGCCCAACTGTTTCCTATTGGGTGGCTCCTGCCAGAGTCTACTTCAGGCAATAAATAGCAACTGGGTTGTTATTGTTTAATGACAGATCCACGTCCCCAGGTCATTTGGAGACGCTGATCTGTCATTACAACTGGGCGGAGCGAGCCGTGAGATCACAGCTGGCTACGATCAGCTGTCATTTGTGCGGAGATCGGTCAGCGTTGGCCAACCTTTCTCCATGCTTCACCTATCACTACGGCTCAGTCGAGCCGAAGCATACAGGTTTTGCTTGGCAGCCTTTGGCTGCTGTACGGGCTATAGTGAATAGCCCATACAGCAGCCCTCTGGTTTGACTGAACCGAAAAAGGGAGAGGGAGGGGGAGTGAGAATAGGATAGTGGATTGGGGCAAAAAGTGCCCTGTGGTTGCTCTTGTCCAATAATATCTTATAGGAGTTCATAAAACAGAGTGCAGTTTATCAAATTAATTTTGTTTTTCATGCACAGAATAATGACATTTAGGGGGTTATTCACAATGGAGCCGAAGGATTAAGCCAAAGCATCGGCTAATCCTTCGGGTCACTTTGGACCTCAGGAGACCCATATGACAATGGTTTGACTGAACCGAAGGGCTCAGGTGGCCGATTTGAGCCGAAGGATCAGCCGAAGCTATGGCTGTATACAGCTGCTCATTAGTGAATAACCCTCTTAGTGAATATCCCTGGTAACCGCCCCTTGCTGCTTGTGTGAGTATAGGCTAAATGTGAAATATCACTGAGAACATTCTTAAGGCAGCTGGTAAGAGGGAGCACCGCAGTTGGATGTTTTTGTATGACCGTAGCCATCCTGGAATCACTGTGTCTCTAGCACAGTAATAAGTGGCCGTGTCTTCCACTTTCACATTCTCTATTTGTAGATATGCTGTGTTTATGGACTTATCAGATGTTATGATGAATCTTCCCTGATATGAAGTCGAATAATCTGTATTTCCATTATAAGGATAAATCCTCCCAATGCATATCAGCCCTCTTCCTGTAACCTGTTGATACCAGTATATGTAATAGTAGTCAGAGATTTGAAATCCCGATCCTACACAGGACATCTTCACACTCTGTCCAATGTGTCTTACTTCTGACGAGGACTGAAGGAGCTTAACATCTGACATGACTCCTGTAAGGGAAGAATGAAAATATGAGAAGTACCGTATATGTTTTTATAGCAGAAATGTTTACATTATTTTTGTATTCTAACTTACCAAGACATGAAGACAGACACATAAGACAATAGAACAGACATCGGCTAATCCTTCGGGTCACTTTGGACCTCAGGAGACCCATATGACAGATGTCGGCCAAAAAAAACACAAATAGGCAGAGCCAGCGGTAATGTCACAGCTAACTCCGCCCATTTGTTTACTTTTTTCAGATTTCTGTCAAACAGGTAATTCTGCGGCGGAAGTTTGCCGGGTGCGGACTAGTCGGCGGGTGTCTGTTTTTCTTTTATTTCGACAAGTCGCCGTGGACAACGCTGGATGTCGTGATTGACTGTTGGATTACGTCGCTGGAACAATTTGTGGGATTTTTTTTTTTTAATTAAAGGAATTGTCAAATATTTTTGTTTTTCTTCTATTAAAGGATTTTTTACAAAAGTGTGGTCTATTTATTAACAATTTACTTTAACCCTTTAGTGAATGAGTATGGGTACAAGTACCCCTTACTCGTTCACAAGGAGAAGCAGCATCTGGGTGCCACTTAAATAAAAGGGTACCCTGATGCAAATAGGCCCCCCTGCCCGCAGACCCCCACAACCAACGGGTCAGGATTCATGGGGAAGTGGCCCTTGTCCCTATTGACACGGGGACAAGGTGCTTTTCCAGCGGGGACCCTGGAAAAGCACCACAGCCCTCTGTTTGACTGAACCGAAGGGCTCAGGTGGCCGATTTGAGCCGAAGGATCAGCCGAAGCTATGGCTGTATACAGCTGCTCATTAGTGAATAACCCTCTTAGTGAATATCCCTGGTAACCGCCCCTTGCTGCTTGTGTGAGTATAGGCTAAATGTGAAATATCACTGAGAACATTCTTAAGGCAGCTGGTAAGAGGGAGCACCGCAGTTGGATGTTTTTGTATGACCGTAGCCATCCTGGAATCACTGTGTCTCTAGCACAGTAATAAGTGGCCGTGTCTTCCACTTTCACATTCTCTATTTGTAGTTCACAAGGAGAAGCAGCATCTGGGTGCCACTTAAATAAAAGGGTACCCTGATGCAAATAGGCCCCCCTGCCCGCAGACCCCCACAACCAACGGGTCAGGATTCATGGGGAAGTGGCCCTTGTCCCTATTGACACGGGGACAAGGTGCTTTTCCAGCGGGGACCCTGGAAAAGCACCCTCCCAGTGCTGAGGGCATGCGGCCTATCGAATAATCTGTATTTCCATTATAAGGATAAATCCTCCCAATGCATATCAGCCCTCTTCCTGTAACCTGTTGATACCAGTATATGTAATAGTAGTCAGAGATTTGAAATCCCGATCCTACACAGGACATCTTCACACTCTGTCCAATGTGTCTTACTTCTGACGAGGACTGAAGGAGCTTAACATCTGACATGACTCCTGTAAGGGAAGAATGAAAATATGAGAAGTACCGTATATGTTTTTATAGCAGAAATGTTTACATTATTTTTGTATTCTAACTTACCAAGACATGAAGACAGACACATAAGACAATAGAACAG